CTCTATGGAAATCCATATAGGCTCTTCTATGGAGATATCAAAGATAAGATAAGCATTACCAGACAAGCTTGCTCCAAACCTCTCCATCTTCACGATAACAATGTCCTCCCACGTGTCCTCCCCTTTCACCATCACATTGCCAATAAGTATGGTGAGTCAGTTTTTCTTTTTCGTTTTTCTGTTTCACTCTGTTTGGATAACATGATTTGATGAGAAATGGTGAGAGAAAAAAAGCAAAAAAAATTGTCTTATGGTGCTTTTGTTTTTTGTTTTGAAATTGTTTGATATTTCTGTTTACACAACTTATTAGGTAAGTAGCCCAACGTGGGTGGCATTGTGGTTAAGATTTGAAGTTTAAGTTCTAAGGTCATGAGTTTAATTTCTTTTTTTTTGAGTCAATTTTTTGAGCGAAGTACAGTTGGTTAGGAGGTTGGACTTCAAGTTGTCTAATCAGCACTTGGTGTGGGTTCAATACTCTCCCACTGTGCGAGTCCTAACTTAAGCGGAGCTTGTTTTGGGAGGTCGGAGCAAGTTCTCAGGTTGTAGTTTCCTCGCTCAGAACGGCGAACAGGACACCCTGGTGATCTCCGCAAGGAACGCTGCCTTGAACTTACGGAAGGATAGAGAGGATTTTCCTAGCCAAAAAAAAAAAAAAAAAAAAAAAAAAAAAAAAAAAACTTATTAGGTACGAACACTTTAAGACAAATTATAAAAAAATTATCAGAATTTGAGTCAGCTTACAAAATAAATTATAAATTATAAATTTTTAATTTTTTTATTTTAAATCTTATACCTGGATTTGATCTTATACCTGGATTTGGATTTGTATTCAATCTAATCATTGGGCTATTTTTCAACTATTATTATTTTTTTCTGATTTTGTTTACCCACACGCACGGACACACTGCCCAACTTACGGAATATAAGCAACATGCGATCAAGACACAATTTAAATATGTGAAATGCTAGAGAGCTTTAATTTGAGCTCTAGTGATGTGCTCAAGCAATAAAAAAAATAAAAATAAGATAAGGTACAAACATTACATCAGAGTGGATCTCACATTCCCATTAGAGCTATTAGAGCTCCTATATTAGAGCTCTAAAGCATTTTTGTTTAAATATTGGGCTATTTTGAAAAACGGATTAGAAGTCACTTTTTAATTTTTAATTTATTTTGTTTTTTTATAAAAAAATTAAAAATAATTTTTAATTATCTTCTTAAAACACCTCATTTTAAGTATATCGTCATTATTTTTTTACATATTAGAATTTTTTTTAGATAAATTACAAATAAATTTCATAATTTATTTAAAATATGAATTATTTCTTGTAATTTAAAAATTTTTTTTTAACTGTTTTTATATAATAATAAAATTAATTGAATTATTAATTAAAATATATTTTTGATATTATTAAAAATTATTAATTAATTTGATAATTTATTGATAAAAGGACCATTTATTATGAAATTAAAAAACTTTAAGGAGTGAGCTATAGTTTTTAAAATTAAAAAAGATAATTTATATTTTAAATAAATTTCAGAGGTATATTTATAATTTTTTATCCTTTTAGATTGTGTTTTTTTTTTTTAAGTGCAAAAAGTAGAGACTTCAGACTTCTCATTATTTTTATTCATAAAAAAAAATAAAATAAAAAAGAAAAAAGTGTTTTTTTGAAGTAGATTCCAAACAACCCTGCTAATCTAGACTATGATGATGATCCATATCACGGGCAGGTAAGAAGTGTGTGATATGGACAGGGGCGAGTCCCACAGTAATGATAATGGAGCCTCAACTAATAGAAGAAATTTTGCTGAAGAACGATAATTTCAAAAAGCCAACACCAAGTCCTACCCTTAGCTTGCTACTCTCTGGCCTTGCTGGCTATGAGGGTGCGAAATGGGCCAAGCATAGAAGGATTATGAACCCTGCTTTCTACCTTGAGAAATTGAAGGTACTTTTTCTCTTTTTTTCATTTGTCGTTTTGCACACAGTTAGAAAGGTTTTATTTAGTTATTTATTTTTATAACATTTTTGGATATTCCCACGTATTGTGTTATTATGCCTGTTTGGTGCAGCTTAAAAGCTGTTTATTTCAGCTTTTAGCTTAACTTAAACTATTTTGATGTGCTTGGTTTAGTTTATAGTTTATAACTTTTTGGAAGTTAGAAATCAACTAATTCTTTGAGTGGGGTAGGAGATACTTAATTTATAAGTCAGAAATCAGTTTATGTTCATAGTTATAAGTTATAAGCTGTTTAGGCATAAGCTATAAACACTTTTCCACAACTCTACCAAACAGGGCCATTATCATGTTAGAATATCACGTGGCATTCGTGTCGTCACGTTTGCCAAATTGCCAAATATAGCCTTCGTTTGGGAAGCCCAAACTTGGGTTTTTTTTTTTTGCTATTTTAACAATCGAAAAAAAAAAAGAAATTTTTTTTTTAGTTTAATAAAATAAAATATTACATCTAACTTATAATCATTATATTTTTTTTCTCACAAAAAAGTTAAATTTTTTTCAAATCAAACTTTTTAATCCTAAATTAAAATAAACAAAAAAATTAAAAAATTAAAAAATCAACCCCCTTCAAACACATGTTCTAAGCATTCTATGTAAACAAAAAGGGACACCTATAGAGCACTAATTTGAGATCGTCAATTTTAGATATGATATGAGGTTCTTGGTTTTATTCAGTGTGTTTCATTTCATCTTTTTTAATTTAATTTTTTAAGAATTAAATTTTGTATTTTTTGTATTTTTTTTATTTTTATTGAATATTTTTTTAAATTTTAATTAATTTGTTTATTTTTTTTAAATACACCTTACTTAGATGAATCTAAGTAGTAAAATATTTATGAAAAAATATTTCAAAAAATTAATAAATATATAAAAATACGAAAAATATACTAAATATTTTTTTTGGTATTTAGTATATTTTTAAAAAATATTCACAAATATTATATTTTTTAAGTTTATTTATGTTAGATGTGTTTAAATTTTTTTTTTTAAAAAAATGCTTAAAATATTAAAAAAATTCATTGAAAATATTAAAATATGAAAAATAAAAAGTAAAATTTTAAAACTGTTTTCTGAAAAACCAGAAACCACTTTATTTATTTATTTTCCTTATAGAGTTAACTTTAAATATCCATAATTATGGATGAAGCACAAAAACCATGCTTGTGTCAAGGGGAAATTTATGCTTGGATTTGGAAATTTATCTTTGCAAATAATGCATTTTAATTTATGTGCGTCTTTTAGAGGTGGGCTCGGGTCGGTTGCGGCCACGAAACCTCCAATCCGCCATTCGTCCGTCAGATTGGTGGATTGGAGAAAATCAATCCGCATCCGTCCGCCAATCCGGCGGATGTGGATTGAGCAGATTGGCGGTTTGGCGGTTTGAAATTTTATAAATTTTCAACATAGTTCAACTTGTACACTTCCTCAAAAAAAAAAAAAAAAAAAAAAATTAAAGTAAATGTTAGATATGATATGAGGTTCTTGGTCTTATTCAATGTGTTTGGTTTTATTTTTTTTTTAATTTAATTTTTGAAAAATTAAAATTTTTATTTTTTGTATTTTTTTATTTTTATTAAATATTTTTAAAATTTTAATTAATTTGTTTATTTTTTTAGATACACCTTACTTATATGCATCTTACTTAGATGAATCTAAGTGGTAAAATATTTATGAAAAAATATTTTTAAAAATTAATAAATATATAAAAAATAAAAATTTATGAATTTTTACATTTTTTTATATTTTTGGTATTTAATGAAATTTTTAAAGATTTTTTTCACAACTATTATACTTTTTAAGTGTATTTATGTTAGGTGTGTCTAAAAATTGTTTAAAATATTAAAAAACTTCAGTGAAAACAAAAAAGTAAAATTTTTTAAAAAGTAAATTGTAAAAACTGAAAACCAAACATATATATTAGTTTTTTGTGACCAAGATTATCAGTGAATTCTATCAAATTTAACAATTAAGTCTTATTTTTCATAACTTATTCCCAAGAAGTTCAATTTTTCCTAACAGTATGCTTTATTATGATTACTAACTGTTTAAACAATTTTAATTTACTTCAATACTATGTTTTTAAATTGTCAAAATTAAACAAATTACATCAAACAAAATTATGAACAATTTGATCAAAAGAACTATGTCATAAATCATTTTCTATTGCCTCACATGATCAAAAATAAATTGGTAAACAAATTCAAAGTGTCTAGTTTTATTAATATTCCATTAAAAAATTGTGGAAAATAATATTGTTGAAAATTCATATTTTTTCAAATTGTGAGATAAAATAATGAATTTTATAAGCTTTTGTTTAATAAAATTTGATTATTCTTAAATTTTAAAAATATTTTTAAATAAACTATTATTTTTATAAAATTGTTATTCATATATATTTTAACATATAGGGTAAACTTGGAATAAAATATATCATAAGAGAATTGAATTTTTCGGGAACAAATTATCAAATAGAGGACTTAAAATATATCACTTGTATAATTTTTACTATTATGCTTTACTCTCTTTTAATTTTTTGATTTTTTGACTATTTTAACCTGGAGTTAAATTGTCTCGTTTGGGATAGCCTTTTTTGTTTTTTTGACTTTTGAGAAAGAAAAAAATAACATGATTATAGTTTAAATGTGACATTTTGTTTTATTGGGTTAAAATGCTTATTTTATCTTTTTGTGACTATTTTAGCAAAAAAATCTAAAAATCTTTTATGCCAAACAAAGGTTTTTTAAATAATTTATACAATATTTCAAATTAAAAATAAATATTTTTTTTTTACAAACTTAACCAATTTCCTCATTTTTAAATTTTTTTTTACTATATCGATGTACTAGTACCAATATCTGTACCCGTACACATGCGTCATAGCAAATTTCTGATGCATTTTAACTATATGTCGTTTGATCTTGTCGGGCTATGTTCTTGACAGTTTCTTGGCATTATTTTTCCTATGTTTTATACAGCACATGCTACCAGCGATGCATGTGTGTTGTACAGAGATGATGAGCAAATGGAAGGAGTTGGTCTCAGAAAAAGGAGGTTTATGTGAGTTGGATGTGTCACCTCATCTCCAAAATTTAGCTGCCAATGTGATTGCTCGAACAGCATTTGGTAGTAGCTATGAAGAAGGCAAAAGGATATTTGAACTCCAAATGCAACTAGCCAGTCTTGTGTTTCGACTTTCACAGTCAATGAACTTTCCAGGACGGAGGTATATCTGAAATATGTGACAATTGAAATAATTTATATTTTAATTACATTGAATGGTATTTGATTGATGTTGAGTAACCGGTTTCCTTGTTCAAATGCTAGAATATCACTGCTTAAGAATAGTTGCAACTAGTATTCAGATGTTGAATATCTCTATTCACAACTAATAAAAAAAAATTGCCCCTAAAATAGCTCTCATAGATAGGAGATTCACTGAGTTTACCATAGATCTGAAAGCTATAATTACTGGGTATTAAATTGTTATACTTAAAGGTTCTAGTTAATGCGACCATGAGATGAATATAGCAGGTTTCTTTTCCCTTATTTACTCCCGGAAAACTTGTTTGTTTTTTTGTTTTTTAATAATGTAAAATTTTTACTAAATTCTAGCAATATAAAAAAAGCTACTTTCATCCGTTTTTGAACAAGTTTTCATTCCTTCCTCCCTTCCCCACCTCCTCCAGCCACCTACTGCTTATCACCACTGCTGGCCAACCCCACCTCTAGTCACAACCTCCGAACCCTCTAGCCACCCCCTTGTTTTTAAATTGAGTTTTTGAAACCATGTGTGTTAAGCGTACATGTTTTTTATTTTTGTTTTTAGCAAAATAAACATAAACATGTTTAATGTTTTCTGTAAACAAAAAACCGTAAAATCTAAACATTATTTCGGTTGTTTTCTTACCAATCAAAGTATTGTTTCTTTCATAACATATTGATGTTGTTACAATCAATGCCTTTTTGATGCTATAAATTTTCATTTGTAGGTTTCTACCAACAAAGATAAACAAGAGAATCAAAGCAATCAACAATGAAGTGCAAATTCTTGTGAGGGGAGTCATCAATGAAAGGGAGAAAGCCATGAAGTTGGGAGGAGCAGGTGACGACGACTTACTGAGTGTGCTATTGAAAGCCAACTTGAGAGAAATCAAAGAGCATGGAAACAAGAATGCAGGAATGAGTATCGATGATGTGATTAAGGAGTGCAAGCTAATGTACTTTGTCGGCCAAGAGACTACTGCACAGTTGCTCGTTTGGGCAATGATTATGTTAAGTTTACATCCAAACTGGCAAACGCGTGCAAGAGAAGAGGTTCGACAAGTTTTTGGGAACAATAAACCAGAGTACAATGGGATAAACCACCTCAAGATTGTAAGTATATATATGCGTTATACTTTTTTGTTATTTCTGGAGTAGGCATGAGATGGATTTATATCTATCTTTTTAAATTAGTTAGCTTTCTTAAGTAAATAATCAATATTAAAATTTTGAAATCACAGCATATAAACTGTCTTCAAAGGATTAGCATCAACACCTTTAGAGAAGGTACAATTAGTTATCCACCTTGTACCTTTTCACCTTACCTTCTTGTTCCTTCTTCAGCAATAAGATGAGGAAATTAATTCACTTCCCTGACAAATGAAGCATAAAATGAAGAAATTGAGAGAGAATAGTAGGGCAAGTTCAGAGAGAGAATAGTAGGGTTTATTTGTACATACATATTCATATATACGGATGTGTGTGTTTGTATAGAAACACATCAATGATTTTGCTTCTTTTTGTTATAAGAAAAAAACACTTTTGTTTTTCAATGACATTCCTAGTAGCACTATCACCCACCTAAATTTTAATATGATTATAATTTCTAAAATCGGTTATCTATAGGTAACAATGATATTGAACGAGATTCTTAGGTTATATCCACCAGCAATAATGATGTCCCGTGTTAATCATAAAGAGACAATGTTGGGAGACATGGTGATACCTTGTGGAACAGAGATCATGGTACCTATACTCTTCGTCCATCATGATCGTGACCTTTGGGGAGAAGATTCAGAACAGTTCAACCCAGAGAGGTTTTCTGATGGAGTTGCTAAAGCAACAAACAAGCAAGCATCCTTTCTCCCATTCGGTTGGGGTCCTCGGATTTGCATTGGGAACAATTTTGCGATGTTGGAAGCAAAAATGGCTTTAGTAATGATTCTTCAAAACTTCTCATTCGAGCTTTCTCCATCCTACACTCATGCTCCTTTCTTCCGTGTTACCCTTCAACCTCAAAATGGCGCGCACATTATTTTACATAAAATATAGTGTCGAAATCTTGGTTGGCTAATAGTATATATCGTATGCTGATAAGCTATATAATATGTTGGGCCTATTTGGTGTAATCAAAAAGTAGAAACTAAAAGTACCTCTTCTCCAGTTTTTAAATAATTAGTTTTTTTCAATTTATTTAAATTATATGTACTTAAGCAGAATTGTACTGAATAACCGGATCGTTCTAGTAACTAGCTCCATTGCGAGAGATGTTTATGTTGCAATTTAGTTCTTCTTTTGTTGTTGTTGTTGTTGTTGTTTTTTTTTTTTTTTTCATTACCCTATGTGGGAATCTCAATTTGCTAGTTTATTATTGTTTAGATGTTTGGCCAACTCTGTTTCTCTCTCTCTTTCTCTCTCTCTTATATTATTCTAGTCTAAGAATGAGAAATTATATAGATGTATTAATGTCAAGAGTTGATGGCATGGGAAGATTTGCTCATTGCCAACAGAAAATGATATAAGATAGCATTTGATTGACTAGAATGAAATGGAATAAAATGATTATTCCGTTAAAATATGTTTATTCTTAATGTTTCGTTGATTAAAAAATATAATGAAAAATATATTTGGAATCATCATTGATTCATTGTACGTATAATCATTTTATCTATTCTATTTTATTCTAATGAACAAAATAGATTTTAAGGTCATGTACGAACAGTAATTTATTTTGTCTAGATGGCACCATGACTATGTGATGCACAATGACCACTAAATTTTTTTTGAATTTCTTATCGTGGTCATGAAAACATGTGTGGTGGAACTGTTACAATGTATAATTCTTTTGTGAGTGCATAGGTGTTTGGGAAGTAGGTTTTTATGTAAGTTTTTTTAGTTATAGGATATTATTAGATAAAAAATTTTTGGTGTTTGAAAAGATAGTTGGATTTTTTTGTGGTTGAATGTGATGTTTATGAGAGAAAAAGTAAAATAATTATAGTGTTGGATGTGATATTTTATTTGGATTTATTTTTTTAGTTTTGCAAAAACTTTGTCTTTTAGTGAAAAAAATAAAACAAAACCCAAATTTTTTTTTCTCCCAAACACCGCCTTACTCATCTTTGTCGAGCATAGTCAACCAGAATTCTATTTATACCGCACCTTCATTTTTTTACGCTTGCCATTTTAAACATAATTTTAGTCACATTTTCTAAAATGCCTCCTGTGTGAGTGATTTTCTGACCACACTGCCTACCTCAGTACTCAGCTGGAGAACACTGGCAGAATAGATGACACCTGGCTAACCTGTAACAGAAAGAGAAGATTCCGGCGGTGGTTCGTCCACCCGGGGGCACTCCGACGATCAAGTCAGTATATTTCTCAAAGATAATCAATAATGCTAAACTCAATGCTCAAAGCATAAAATTGCGTACCTTAGACCCATGGGGGTGCCTCTCTTTTATAGTTACCTCAATCCTAATCTCAATAGAAGCCTGACTTCTATGGATTCCTGTTCAGTACTTACTTTGGACTCCTTCAGAGATAAAGATAAACTCCCTAAGAGCTTTATCCTTATCTTGGCTAAGTCTCCTCTTTATTTTAGGACTCTGGTCTCTTATCCGCTTTTCTCGGACTCCGATATCTTCAGAGATAACCTCGGCTTAACTGAGATCACCTCGGCGTCATGACCCTGATACGTGGCACCTTGGTTAACACGTCGGCGTCACCTTACCACGTGTCGGTACTCAAAAATATATCCCCACAACTGCCCCCTAGGTTCTATTATCTCGACATTTTGAGGTGATGGAACCTATATCATTCATTTCTTTCAGTATGTTAGTTCACAGTATTTCAGCTGGGATCATTATGTTGGCCGACATGTCTTCGTTAAAGAACAAGAATTCCAAATGAGCGCCTTCATGCGTATGAGCTGTCAGACATCACTTTTCAACCGTTTCATTCACGCGTTTCATTCTTATTGGATCGTGCTTATAACGTGCCAGAAAACCGTCTTGTCTGCGTGCGCCGTCTGACGTACTCGTTGCTCTAGGTGCATTTAATTTCCTTTTGCCGCCATTTCAATATTTTTGACAAAAACTTGTTTTTCCTTTTTCATCTTCTTCACTTTTATATCAATTCCTTTGCTCTTTCTCTCTCTAGCCTTTGAATACGCCATTATTCCAGACCTCAAGCTCTGCAACTGCCTTCATTCTTCCTTTCTGGTGAAGCTTTCTGCTGTTCTGCTACTTCTATAACCATTGACTGACTTCGGCGATTCTTACACCGGCCTCTTTTCTTCGGTGAGTTTACTGTTCCTTTCGTTTTCAATTTCTTGATGTTTTCCATTTCTTGATGTTTTCCATTACTTGCCACCACTACTGTATTAGTTTACACCTGAATGTGTTTTTCCCACGATTTTGCCCTTGCCCATATCTTGAACACACGCACTGTTTCACCACTTTTTTGTATTTTTGCCACTGTTCATGGCCCTATACCTCTTGTATTCTTTATGTTCTTGATAAACCATCTCTGTTCTTGCTTTTGAAACTCGTTCTTGTTTCTGTTTTCCAGATTCGTTCCTTCAATCTTCATCTTCATAGCTTTAGGTTTGGGATTTGTCTGCAGAACCCATAATTTAGGGCAAAACTGAAATATCCCTTACAAATTTCTGCACCAGCTCAAACCTAGGTTTTTTGCCGAGGTCCCAATAACCCTATTTGAAACATTTGCTTACTGAAATCCAATACCTTTAGTTATCCCGATATCATGGGTATGTGGAAACATCGGGTAGATACCCCCCTCTAAGCAAGAATTTTTTAGGCAAGAGTTTGAAATCCCAGTCGATGTCAATCTGAAATTGGCTGGGGATGATGACTCCATCATGCCTACGGACAACTCTATGCCCTTCCCTGTAGTTGCTTTTATTGAGTGTGGACTTCGATTTCCACTTGACCCCTTTTTCCGTCAAATTCTTCACCTCTATAAGTTGAACCCAATGCAACTCGCCATCAATTCTTACTGAGTTATTACTGGTACCATAGCTTTAGTCAAACAAGAGAATGCCAGGATTACGCTTGCCGATTTCCAGTACTGTTATACCATGTGTCACCTTAGAAAAGACACAGACTATGTCTATTACCTCAAGCCGAGATCCACCGAATATAAAATCGTAGCCGACCCCTCAGACTCCAACAAGGGAGCTGGAGACGATTACTTCATCGTCTCGGGCAATTGAGAGTTTCAGCCAAACGACGACCTCCATCTTTATCCCTTAAGCCGAATTGTTTTGGGGGAAGGAACTGGTAAGGGCCACCCTTCATCAGTTTACTTATTTTCTTGCATAAAGTTTTCAATATTCTGCTCTAATGTCTGTGTTGTTCTCTTTTTGCAGTTCTTCCTTAACCTCCAAAGAACTTTCGCCAATCCTTCCTCTCCAGCAAGGATTTGAAGAAGCTACTGAACCTTCCAGTCCATAAACGGAAGGCGCCTTTGCTTCTCAATTTTATCCCAACCTAGAAGTCAGCTCTGCCCGACGTCCCTAAGAGGAAAAAGAAAAGCCTCTGTCAACCTTCTGCCATAACTTCACAGAATGCGTCCACATCTCGGACAGATCAAGGGTCAACTTCCGATCCAGCTGATCAGCCATCAACCTCGGCTCCATACTTGATTCCAATATCACAACGTCGCCGTTGACGGCGAACAGTTTCTACTGCCAAGATGGGTCGCCCGAAACCAATTGTAAAAGATCTCTTGGCCAGCATCCCTTCTGATGTTGATGCACAACCAACACAAACCCTGCCTCCACCGAAGCCGAAAATAATAAAAAAGGCTCAGCCCAAGGCTAAAGTTACTCAAATTGAGTCTGAGGATGCTCTGCCAATCTCCAAATTGGCTGAGAGTGACAAATCTCAACCTTCTGCTGGGAAGAGGCACTCTGAAGCCCAACCATCCGAATCGCCCAAATCAAAAAAGCCGAGGTCATCTTCTGCAACGACCTCGGGGTCTAAGAAGCCTGCTGCCCCCTGGGCCCCTGAAATAACCTTGGAAGATAAGCCAGTCATGGCCAATGATGGCGCCGAGGATATCAATGTCGGCGTTGCGCTCAGTACTGCTCTGCTTCTACCAGGCGATCTGGAGCGAAACGTCGGGTTTAGTGAGCACGAGAACTATTCCTTGATGCTTTAGCATTCTGTCCAAGTAAGTGTCTTTCATCTGGCACTTTTTTCCTTCTTTTTCATACTTAGAAATTTTCTAATAACTTTCGTTTTGTTTACTTTCAGGCCATGCAGCATGCTCATTCCTTTTCAATTTAGTCTTTTGAAAACCGGGAGAAGTTGGCCGAGATGAAGAGGGAGTTCTCTTCTCTTCAAAAGACCAATAAAGGCTTATAGTCAAAAATGAAGAAGCTGGAAGACCAAGCTGAGGCCGCCATCAAAGCTCAAACTGATGCCGAAGAAAAGACTGAATTTGCCGAGGCTATCAGGAAGGTCTCTGAGGCCCAAAGGAAAGAGGCCGATGAGAAGATCGCCCAAGCAGAAAAAGAGCTTCAAGAAGCCTTGGCCACCAAAGAGGCTGAAATTAAGGACGCCGACGAAAAGGTATACGCTCAAGGCATGGCCGATGTCACGGAGGCTTATGAACTTTAAGTGAAGCAGGCATGCAACAAGGGTTTCACCCTTGGTTGGATGTCTCTTCTAAAGAAGCTTAATGTCCTCGAGGACTCGCCCTTCAGAAATACTGACCTCATTCCTCTTCCACTCCCTCCAACCCCAACTCCAACTCCTGCTCAGTTTGGTGATTAATCTGATTCTGAGGATGAGGCCGAGGAGAAAGTTTTGGTAAGGAAGTCCAAAGATGCTGTTGGGGCCAAGTCTCCTCCTCAAAATGAGCAAGTCCTGGACTTGACTCAAGATGAGGAGGATGAGGAGGTTCGCAAAGATGCTGCTTTCGAGAAGACATCAGCCGATGTCACCATTGCCGAGAAGAGTCTTGAGGAAACTTTGCAAGAAATTGATGCCGAGCTTGCGGTAGAAAAGGCGGCCGAGGTGGCTTCTCAACAGCCTTCCGAGGTCCAAACCGAGCCTGTTGCCGATGCTGAGGAGTCTTAATTTCCATGTCTTTTCTTTTGTACTTTGTTTTTCTTTGTTTTTGAAACAATGTAAGCCTTCCGTATGGCCGATGTTCTTTCTCTTTGTTGAATGTTAATACAACTTTTGCATGTACCACTGTCTTCTTTTGACTACTTTTGTGTGATTCTATACTTAGAATATTCTGTATGTCTTTAACATATTCTTCCTTCTC